GAAACCACCTTCCGAATATTACTTTGAAACATCGATTTTTCCTTTTTTTTTTTTTTTTGTCATGTCCTGTGTGGTTTTTGTTATTAGAGTAGCTATTCTGTTGAATTCCTCTGGTCTTGTGGACAGAATAGAAATGTGCGTGACTAATATCGGGTTTGGGTACTAGTCTACTCTGTTAGAAGTCTGGCTGAGGCATTCTTTTGGTGTGAGAATCATTCTCCCAGCATTTGTAGGTAACAAATTAGAGTTTAACTATTGTTTTTACCCTGTTAATGCTCGTTTCCATGATCTGTGATTCTATCAATGCTATACTTTCTGCTGCTACCTTATCTTTGTTTCTAGAAGAAGGATTGGTACGAGATGTTGTCTTCAGATATTCCTGTTCCATTATAATAGCCTACTGATTAGGTGTTTTGATCAAACTTATATCTTGTAACTTTTCATCTTTTTATTCTTTCTCATGGTGATACATGAACTATTTACTCTTGTCATTTTTGCTCCTTCTCAAGTGACAAAACTTTGGTTGCGTCAAGTTGTTGTGATATTCCTATGAATTATATAAAGTTAAAAAGACATAATTATATTTTCTTGTCCTCTGAAAGTGTTTCTAGTACAAGTGTGTGAATTGTTATGTTGATGCTCTTCTGCTGTTGAAACTGTGCAAGCAAAAATCGGATATTTTTAGATGACAAACTGATGTGGAAGATGGAGAGAGTCTCTTTTTGTGAATCCAAACTAGTCTATCTCTCCCTTTGTTTGCTTGATCATGTGAATCCAAACTATTCACTCCCTTTGGAAATTGCATTATTGCTCATTGAAAGACTTCAGTGCAGGTGGTTTCTCTGTCTTCTTTCCCCTTCCCCTCACCAACCCAGCACTGCCACACCCCCAACCCCCCCCCCCCCCCCCCCGTTTTGTTGTTGTTGTTGTAAATGGAATTGGCAGATGATCAATCTGAGGCATGCAATCTGCTGTTGTTCTAGCTGATCTTGTTTTGTGGTGCTTACTAGTGAACAAAATGATGCATTTATTAGCTGGATTGGTAAATGCATTCATTTGGTTAATTCATAGTATTGATTCCAAGATGGCTTGAGCTGTATTGTAATGAATTTATATTTGATGCAAAGGTAGAAGTCTCTCGATCTTTTGTTCAGAATGCAGAAATAAATCTCAATCAAGTTATATATCGAGTCCTACTGTAATATTTGTTTCTATTAGTGCCCAAAAAATGAAAGTCTACAAGGACTTCTTTTGCGATTTGAAAAAAAGGTACTATTCTTTTCGTCGCTTTCGGATTAAAGGTTGAATAAATTTAGCATTAATGTTTGGTCCATGGAACTCTTTGATGGAACTAATCATTCATAGTTCATTTAGTTGTAATTTGACTTCTCCACTCTCTATCGTAGCTTGAGCTTCGCAATCCAATGCATTTCATTTATTTTCTTGCTTTGATGAAAGATCTTAATGTTACTCTGTTGAAGCTTCATGAATACATCAGCTTGGGCTAGCTTACTAGCTCACTGTTCCTAGGCATTTATATTTACTAGTCTTAGCATGAGCTCATGGAATGCTTGCAAGTTGCCATGCAGAGTAGGATAAAATGAGGGTTTTCTCCATAGATATGACTTTCTGTTTGGAATTAAGATACTTGTACTAAATCCTTTTATAACCTATTACCTGGTCGTCGGCATCAAAGATCCCAATAACGGCATACTGACTACTTCCATGGAAGTTTGGTATGAGAGGTCTCGGATCTCTCAAGATAACTTCTTTTATGCCCTACGCTCATGCTTTATGCATTAATCTTTTCTTCCTTTTATTTTCTACTTCTTGCTGGTAAGAAAAAATTAAAAAGTCTGTGTCCACTATTGTGCTTGTATTAAAGTTTCTCTCGTAGCTATACGGAAAATAGCCAGTAGCTATATCAGGAGAGCGGGAGATTGAAATATGATGCAGGCATAGAAGTGAGGAAAAGAACTAGAAAAGAGCAGCAGCTAAAAGAAAAGATAGTTTGCTTCTATGTGTGTTTGTCTATTCGACAAAAGTAGTGTAATAAAATTTATTCTTACAGCCTTATTACTAGTAATTTATATTTTAGAGGAATGAGTGGTTAGAACCTTTTATAATTCTCAAAATTAAATAATACTTCCACACAAAATAATTGTTTCTCCCAAAAAAAAAAATCGTTAATTTGTGTTTTGTCGAAATTTGAAGTTCAGAAGATAAATTTTTATCTGAATGGAATAAGAGAATTATTCCCATCTTTACAAAAAAAAATTACAGCAATTGGCAATTGCGAAGCCCCATCTTCCCAACGTTTGACGACAAGTCAATCACAGATGATACTGTAAAAACCGCATGCACTCTGGTTAGTTCCAGATCGCCGTCCTCACGAACAACCCGACCCTCAAAAGAAAAATACAGCTAACTCAGAGAAACCATTCTTTGAAAATGGATGCTTTCAATTAACAAGCTTGAAGAGGATGCTTTTCGATCAGTTTGGCGATTTGGGTGTCGTTGAAATGGTGAGAGAGGTTTGTTTCAAGGATTCGAGTACAGATTGGGTGTTTTGGAGGGTGAGTTGTTGAACAACTTCTAAAAGCAGCAATCTGTACTTCAATTATTGTCTTTAAAATCTCTTGCTTTCAACGGTACCCACTTCGCCAAACTCATCTAAAAGATTCCAGCAGAAGATTTCTTCATCCTAATACGCTAGTCATGGGTAACTTTTATCTTTTGTAATCCCGTTTTGATTTAGTTTTCGTACCATTATTACTCCTCTTTTGTTGCCCAAAATCAGTGAAAGCATTTTACTGTCTTTCTTTTTGTTTCATGAGCTAAGAAGTGCCGAAAATGATTGGTGTTTTGCAATGTTGTCAGGACCCAAAATCATTACAATCTGGTTTTACTTCAATCATTAACGTCTCAAGAAATCATGTTTTTCCCTTTTCTCAGATTGCCAAAAGTCATCGAAAGATATCCAAACTTGTTTCCGTAGAGAAAATCCTTCTACCTAAGATTGAGCTTTTACTATTCTGAAAGCATGTCAACTACTGATCTACTAAAAGTATTATTTATCTGAAAGTGTTTGGTTGGTTAAGATGACGAAATTATAATTGTTATTGTAGATGAAGTACTTTGATTAATTGGAGTTTCTCAAGTTCAATTTGATCTTATATTGTTTTGCGGAATTGGTATGCTTTATTTTGGTTTTCAATGTTTTTGAAGATTGATGTAATTATCATTGAACAGAGAAAATTTGAAGAATAACAAAAAAACAAGAGAGGAAATGATTTTACATTCAAGATTATTGTTATAAAGAATGCAAGTTTGGCTATTCACTTCACTCCCACTGATACGATGTCTCATCCAACTTTTAAAGATCATTCATTCTACGCACTTAATTTCGACTAATCTTGCAGGTGAACGATGTCTTGGAAGGTTGTTGGTGTTTTGCATGTAAGATCAGATCTGGAAGAAAATGTGATTACAATGATTTGGCGCATTATTTTCCCTGCCTCTGTTTCTTTTCCTTTCCCTAGTGGTGTCGAGATGCTTTCATTGCATGTGCAATATCTTATTCCTTGCGTGGTCATTGATGGATCTTATTTTCACTGCTGTCTCAGAAACAAAGTTGATTTTGCATGACGTAGGAGTATGGCAAATTAAATTTGCCTGTCTAGGCATGAGCACCTGAGAGTGCTGGGTAACCCAAAAGGTAGGAAAATGGAGTTCTTTTCCAGTTTAAAACTAGTGAATTCAATGTTTAGCGTTTGCTTTTGTCAGTAAAACTTGTTATCTGTTTTTTTCAAGAAAATGAATCTGAGTATTGTGAGGATTGAAGAGTTGAATTGTTGTCAAATGTGAACACTTGGAAGTTCAAACTTGGTTGAGGTGAAAATGAAGAAATGCTATCACATTCATATCCCTTAATCCCACATTCCCTTCAAGCATTCCTGGCAGGATCACTATATGGATTGCCTACTCATGTCTTGTTTCTTCCTTGGATGCTTAATTTAAGCATCAGTTTTCTTAATGGCGAATTCTCTGTTATGTATTTTGTCCATTAACTTCTGTTGCTTGTGCAAGTGGGATCTTCACCTCTGGAAATGGTGAGATTCAAAGGTGTTGTTATTAGAACTTACATGAAACTTCATTTTCTGTCAAAAACAACCTCCGTAGGTGTCATGTCTTTCACTGCTACTGTAATTAAATTTTCATTTCTTGTACATTTCTGAATTAAAATGCCTAGCAAGTGGGAGGAGGATGTCCAAGCAAGACCTCCCTTTATTTATATTTCCTGAGCGTCTACTGTTGTCTGTACTTCATAATCAGACCAACCATATATGTCTCCTGTTGGTGTGAAGTTCTTTCAAAATACTTCAGGACTCGGTCATAAAATATCTACTCTGGAATCTAAATCAATCTGGTTGTCCTTGAATTTGTTTTTATTTTCGTTTTCATTTCCCTGTGTAACTTTTTCAGAAAGGCATCAAGAACTGCTCTTCTTGCCTAATGAAGGGAAGCAGTGACACTCCATGATTCATTTTCGTCAAATTCTATGATACCCTGTCATTAAATTGACATTTCTTTTTTCTTTCAAAACAAAAGGGCCATGCACCGTTGTTGCTGTAAGAGGTTCTATTGGGCCAGTAACAGAGCACGCTTTTTCTTTTTTTTTCTCCATTACATTTGTATTTTCTTAGCCTGATTTTGGTCATTGAAACATGTAGAAAAATCCTCATATCTATATTAATTACCCCAAAAATGCGTTCAATTATCATCTCATATATCATAAAGAAATGGCAGATTACGACTCCAAGTCCCTAGAGCCTATAAAGTCAATCAAACACAAAATATGAAAAAAATTGAGGGCGTATGACAGACTCTCACTCTTCTTGGCAAAGAGAATTATGCTCCTCTCTTTTTCATTACAAAGAAAGAAGAGCAAATTGAATTAAACTACCAAGAAAAGGAAAACCATTAAAAGCAGACCGCCAATGAAGCCAAAAGTGGATGCAGGATCCCATGTAAAAGAAGCAGAGGTTTTACCACCAGGCCATCTAATGTATGTACCACCAGCATTTCTGCCTCACAAAATCCCACCACCACCTCTACCACCTTTAGCAGCTACTGTTGTTACCATCAAACCAATCACTGCCACTACTACAACTACTACTGCCTTGACAATAGTACTTGTTGAAACCACCTTCATGTCCAAAGACCATATATATATATATATATATATATATATATATATGAGATTGGACTCGACATTTTTTTTTTTTTTTTGACAATAAAGTTGGATCCAGGCAGGCAGAAAGGAAGATAGCATGTGTAAAAGATAGCGGCCACATGTTCTGCAAGGGAAAAGAGGTGGATCAAGGAGACTCGTTCTTGCTAATTCCACGTAATATGAGACTGCACGTGTGGGTTAGGGATTGAGATCTTCTCGTATTTTTTCTAAAAATATGATCGTCGATTATATTTTAATTATATTTTTCAATTGTTTTTCGATCCAATCAAATCATTATACATGTTATATTATTTTAATTTTAATAATTAAACTAATAAAATTACTTATAAAATTTACATTCGAATTTATTAAACTACATTAAAAAAGTAATATAATTTCAAAATTAAATTTAAACAAACAACTAAGAAAATTAACCTATAACAATAAAAAACAAATAAATATATAATTAAATCAATTAATCATACTAACAATTTAAGGTTAAAAAATTAAATTTTAATCTAACAACTGAAAATTAACAAAATTTATATTTTTAAGCTTTACGTTATCATCAAAATTAAACTAACGACTAAAATAACAACAAACTAAAACTTAACAAAATAAATCTAACGAGTAATCAAAATAAAATAACAACTAATATATTTAAACTACCGCATAACAATTAACATAACAAGATAATTAGCAACATTCAAATAATAAATTAAAAAATTTAATTAAAAATATATAACATTTATCTAACTTAAAAAAAATAAAAGTCGGAGATAGAAAGTTTTACCCGACGGATCAAGTATATATAGCACGGATTTGATCCGATTTTGAGGAAGAAAGATAACTCTTACTTGAATACTTTGGAAAAAAATTTATCGGCGTGGGGCGGCTTGGGTAGCTATTTTTTTGGTCGGCGTCGAAAGAGAGGTGTAGTGGAGGTAAGGGAAACAAATGAAGAAGTAGAAGAAAGGGGGTATATATAAGCAAAATAGCGACGGACCCAATTTCGTCGCTATTTTAGGGGAATTTTCCCCCTAAAATAGCGATGGATGGGTCTTTCGCTAACTGGGGAAATTCCCCCCCTCATTCGAGCGACGGATGACCGTCCATCGTTGATTAGTGATGGACGCGATCCGTCATCGATTTGAGGGGAAACTTTCCCCCAATAATAGCGACGGACCCAATCTATCGCTAATTAGCTATGGAAGGCTAGTCCATCGCTAATTTTTGGGAGAAATTTTCCCCCATTCGACGACAGACATTGTTCGTCACTCAATAGTGACGGATTAAATTTGATCACTAACTTTATATTTAGCGATCGAATTACCATCGTTAATCCATCGCTAATATTTATTTAGCGATGGATTTGTTTCCGTTACGATGTTTCCATCGCTAATCCATCACTAAACCATCATAAAAAATATTATTTTGTAATCCATCACTAATTTGTCGTTAATTAGCAACGGATTGGTTTCGTCCCTAAATTCCATCGCTAAATCATTTTTTTCTAGTAGTGATGGTCGGTAAGATTAATTTTGAGAAGCTTTGGATAATAGATTATGGAGCAACAAAGCACATAACATATGACAGGGAATTATTAAAAGGGAAAGATAAGACAATTGATGAGCTACCTATGAAAATTCTAAATAGGGACACAATTCTTGTTAGAAGCATAGGAAGAGCAAGTCTTCCTAATGGGATGAAAATAGACCATATCTTAAGTATTCCCGACTTTAAATACAACCTACTCTCTCGTTAACAAGCTACCGAAGGATTTTAATTGTGCATTAACCTTTGTTGTGGGCTTTTGTGTGATGTAGGACTTACCTACGAAGAATCCGATTGGAGTGGGTAGGCATTGCAATGGTTTGTATTATCTTGAACCAATGCGAAAAGGAGGCAATGTTAGTCAATAAGGTGGATGCTTCGTAAATTTGACACAAAAGGCTTGGTCATGCATCCAATGCAAAAATTTAATAAATTCATCAAATTTCTAGTGATGTTAGTTATGAGAATGTTGTGCATTGTGATTCCCGCATATAAGCTAAACGGACCGGATTACCTTTTCCCATCGGTTCAATAAAATCTCACTTATGTTTTGACTTGATTCATTGTGGCATATGGGGAAATTACAAAACACCAACTTTTCGGGGGAACATTATTTCCTCTCAATTGTGGATGACTATAGCAGAGGAGTTTGGGTGTACTTAATGAAGTATAAATCAAAAGTAAGTCATTATCTAACCATGTTTTGCAATATGATATAAATGCAATTTGGAAAGAAAATTAAGAAAATAAGAGTAGATAATGGAATGGAGTTCCAATCAAATTATATGCTTGACTATTATAAGGAACATGACATAGTTTTACAAACATCATGTACGGATATGCCTCAGCAAAATGACATAGTAGAAAGGAAGCATAGGCATATTTTGGAGACAAGCAAGTGGCCTTAAGGTTCCAAGCGAGGTCGCCAGTCAAATTCTAGGGAGAGTGTGTTCTTACTGCCACTTATCTCATTAATAGATTGCCTTTAAAAGTTATAAAAAATAAAACAACTATGAATTATTATTGGAAAGAAAGCTAACCTACATCCACTTAAGAGTTTTCGTACTGCTAGTGTATGCTCATGATAATAGTAAAAAGGGAGACAAGTTCGGTGAAAGGGGAGAACTTATGTCTTTGTTGGATATCCTAATGGGCAAAAGGGATATTGTGTTTATGATATTGAAAGACAAAAGATTTACACCTCTAGGGATGTAACATTCCTTAAAAGTATATATCCCTTCAAACAAAAGGATCACGAGGTTGTTAAATCAAGAAACATTAAGGAATGGGAAGTAAAATGGAAGCTCGATTTTGATAAGACCTAGGAAGTGTGGCGGTCTAGTCCTAGGGAAAAACAAAAAAAAATTGGAATAATTGAAGGAGAGAATGGATTAGATAGAGAAGTGAGCCCACATGTAGTTAATGACAAAGAGGAGCAGGATCCAATTGATGAACCAACTAACACACAAATAAATGATCAAATTGGGAATGACCAAATACAACCCAATTTGACTACTCGAGATCGGATCCGACATAGTGAATGCATTAGAAGACGACCTAATCACTTTGATGCCTTTGAGACTAATTTGCCATCCTCCATTGTACAACCACAATCGACCTCTCCTTCAGCAAACTCATTGGTATATCCTCTATCACACTATGTGTCTTATAAAAGGTTTTCTCACTCACATAAAGTTTTCTTAGCAGCCATCATCTCCTATAATAAGCTTAAAACATTCTTTCGAGCAAGTAAAGCACAAACACCGGTGAGAGGCAATGAAGAAGGAGCTATAAGCCCTAGAGGAGAATGGGACTTGGACTTTGGAACCATTACCATAGGGTAAGAAGGCAATAAAATCAAAATGAGTCTATAAAATTAAGTTCAAACCAAATGGAGAAGTAGAATGATTCAAGGGGCGACTAGTTACAAAGCGGTATACATAAGTAGAGGGGTTGATTTCCATGAGACCTTTGCATCCGTTGTAAAGCTTGTTACGGTTAGATGTCTTTTATCGATTGCTCGCCAAGAAAGGATGGATAATTCATCAATTAGTTATGAACAATGCATTCCTTCATGGGGATTTGAAGAAGGAAGTTTACATCCGAATACCACAAGGATTTGCACGAGAAGGAGAAACAAAAGTGTGTAAGTTGAAGAAATCATTGTATGGGTTGCGACGAGCTTCCGTAAATTGGTATCACAAATTTACCAATGCCTTACTTAATATGGGTTTTGGGCGATCAAAAGGAGATCATTCATTGTTCATATACAAAAGAGGAGAAGTATTTGTTACGACCTTAATCTATGTTGATCATGTTATACTTACCGACAATAACATTGAAAAGATACAACAAACAATGTTGTATCTTGATAAGGAATTCAGCATCATAGATCCGAGTCCATTGAAGTACTTTTTGGGAATAGAAGTTGCACGGTCGCCACAAGGTATAGTCCTTAGTCAAAGGAAATACACACTAGACATTTTGAAGAAAAGTGGGATGCAAGCATGTCGTCCCCGCACTTTTCCAATGGAACAGAATCATAAGTTACAAGTCGACAAGCAATGGTAGGATCATTGATGTTGCATAATACGTAAGATTGATAGGGTGACTTTTATATTTGACAATTACAAGACCAAACATCACATATGTTGTTAATGTACTCGACCAGTTCGTTGATTCACCATGACAAGAGCATATGGACGTTGCGGAGCTGATTCTATGATATTTAAAAATGGCACCAGGATAAGGAATTATGTTGCTAGCGACAGGGGATCTAATACTTGAGGCATATTGTGATACGGATTGGGAAGGATGTCCTATGACACGAAGATCCCGTACATGGTATTACATTACCCGGGGTGGATCACCGGTATCATGAAAAACAAAGAAACAATTTGTGGTTATAAAATCTTCTGCAGAGGCCGAGCACGGAGACATAGCTACAATCGTGAGTGAACCATTATGGTTACGATGGTCGTTAAAGGACTTGGAGGCACCACAATCATGACCCACTCGATTTTTCCGTGATAACCAAGCTGCACTTCACATTACAGCGAACTAAGTATTCCATGAAAGAACTAAACATGTTGAAATGGACTCGTTACTTCATTAAAGAAAGAGTACGATCAAATGAAATCACACCAAAGAAGATCGGGACAAGAGCACTTCACCAAGGCGTTAGGTAGAGATAGGTTCATGTCTTTAGTTGCCAAGTTGGGTGTTACAAATCTACACACACCAACTTGAGGAGGAGTGATGAAATGGTCAAGATTGTCAAAGATTGCTCCACCATTCAAGTTCGTTGATTGAGCCGAGATTACATCTTAGCATAGATAACTAATTAGCCATGTATAGCCACCGATGTAAATTAGATAGTTGACTTTCTATGTTTAGTATAATTTTTCCTAAACTAGAAGTTCAATATGCTCTATTTATATGCTTAACGAGTAATGAGAATGAACATTGCAACATAAAATGTTTATCCAAATTGCCTAATGTTAGAATCGGAATAGGTATATTAACAACAATTAACTCTAAATTATATATATTATTTACTAAATAATTAATATGAAAAATAGAAAGGGATAACAACCACTCAAAACTTGTAATTTTCATTCCATACAACACATGTAGAAACGGAATGTTGATTTCCGAAATAGGCCGCACTAGCAGATGTAGATGGAGAAAAACTTCCTCGATCTCGGGACTCTTTTTCTCCACCACCACCACCACCACCTACAAATCCTCCTCCACATCATGCTGCCTCCGGCATTACCATTAAAGTAATGATTGTCACCATAATGAATGCCTTCTTGGCCACCTCCGTTACTAAAAACTTCATTTTATTTTGTATTGAATGGCTCACTTTGATATCTCAAGATGCGAGCATGGCCGATGCCACACATTTATTTATGCATCAAGAGAAAAAAGGAGGAAAGCTCGGAAATGTATTGTTTCTTCTCGGAAATGTATTGTTTCTTTTGTTTTCCTTAACTTAGAATATTGTTTTTAGAGAAATTTTTTTCAATTTAGACCTTAGAAGGAACTAAAATGATTCCCACTTTCTTGTTTGAGAAAAAACAATGGAGAAACAACTTTAAACGAGTCCTCTAACTATGGTGCAACTCTTAATTACATCCCTTATCCGACAACTTAAGCAATGTTATCCTTAAAAGAAGTAAGTCTTTGTCACTTATCCCATAAAGGTTGCATTTTTGATAGAAAATTTAAGATTAAACCAAGTCTAATTTACCATATTTTAAACTACTCCATGAGCTTGTTTCGATTCAGCAGACTAGGCTTACTTATGGTGCCCAAAAGTGTGCCTTGACAAGCACATGCCTCTTAAAAGTAGTCTATTAAAATAAAGCCGATAGCCGATTGAGCAAACACCGATAAATTTGGGATATCTTAAGAGTAATATTGCTTGAATTGGTAGTTAGAGGATGTAATTGAAAGTCAAATCATAGTTAAGGGACTTATTTGAAGTTATCCCTAAACCGAGTTTGTTGATTTACTTTTTTCTTTTTCCTTATATCGCATCGTTTTCTTATTCGGACTTATTTTTTTGTCACCATGAGCGAGGTCTTAAGAGATGACCAAAGACTACCGTCAATGAATATGAGAAAATAGATCTCCTTCTCTTATCGAAGATGAGGACGACCCCGAATATAAAAAAAAATACCTAACGATCTCATAAACAAGTTGATTCTTGATAACAACTTTGATATGGCAAGTAGCCTCTATAGTTTCAAATATCGACTATTTTCTATAGTTTGAAATATTATCCGTTATTTAACGATTCGAATATATTCATTACGGTTATATATTATTACATATAAAAAATACAACAACGGTTTTATGCAAATAAGGAGATTATAAGTCGTAATTGTTTTATAATAATAATACGACCAAATAGCTATCATTATATTGAAAAAAAATTAATTTTTTGTATCTTATTATTATTTGTATGATGTTAAATTATTGGAGATTTTATTATTATGCGTAATTAGTAAAATTGTTAAAAATATATTTATTAAAAAATAAATAATTTGTTATTAAATTCACAATAATAATTACATATTATGTCCGTTATTTTATTATAATGATAAACCGTAATTCATGATCGCAATTACCACTACTTTTATAACGGTGTTTACGGTTTAAAGTCTCACTGTTTTTGCACCAAGTTATGACGCTTTTGGATCTTCCAGGAACTCTTCTATTCATTACTCGATCAATATTTGACGTGGAAGGTAGCTCTAAGTACTCATAAAAGAAAAAGAAATTGCAACATAAAGTTAACCTCCTCGCTTCGTAGAACATTTATGCGCTTCATTTACTTCTATCGAATGCATTTCAAATCCCAAACCTCAATAGAATTTATTCTTCCACCCATTTTTTTTTCAATCCAATTTTCAACATAAAGCATGGCATTGTTATGCATGTGGTACAGACAGGTTAACCATGCAAATAATGGGGAGAAAAAAGCAAAAGGAAATGCATCACATATAATCAATAAAATAGTAACAATTTCAACATTTCCACCTCACATGGTTGACCACCTTACGAATGCGACTTACAACTCACTATTCCTCCATGTGTCTTGTTCCCTACTTCCTCACCATATTAACTCCTCTTGAAATTACTCGAGTGAAAAGAAATAACAAGGCATCCTTTTATTTTCCTTACCATGGTAAATTCCCTTGAAATAACTCGATGAAAAGAAAACAAGGCCTTAGGCGGTGATCGTGGTCTGTTTCCTCTTGATGATGAAGCTCACGATACAACTTCAAATAAGCCATGAAGACAACCTTGAACCGCATAAAGATAGTCACGAGTTGCACGGAATATAGAACAAAGATTTGTTACACGAGTCGATTAGATGTTTCTAATCCATGTCTTAATGAAAACCGGAGTATTCAATTTCCAATAGAAATTAGTAACATAAGGTAATCCAAAGTTTGTAATTAAAGAAATGCGAAGGGATCCTTGTTTTTGGATGAATAAGAAGCAAACATGTTCAATTAGATCATGTTAGAGAAAAGGGAAAAGATGCAAGGCAAGTTTGATTGAAAGCGTAAAAGTGCTAGGAATTGTTAAAATTTAGAGAGAAATAAGCAAGGAAGAAAGTTTTCTTCTCATTGATGATTTGAATCATCCCTCATACATTCTACTTTAGCTCTCTTACATACTAGTATTGTACATTCTAGAATAATTACGAAATAAAATTCCTAACTTCCCCTATTTCCTTGCACCAATCATTGGCTAATCCGAGTCACAGGAGTTGTCACTTTCCTTGATTCTTGGATCGACTAACGGTTGCCAACCGGTACAATCCTTACTGCTGAGATTGATTCGGCATTATAACAAACGAGTTGGTGCTCCGGCATTATAACAAATAGTTGGTGTGTCATGTTTGTTATAACCAACATTGGTTTATTCCTTCTACATTGCATCCGATGCATCTTCATTATGCATGATTGTAGTCCCTCATGTATCCTGCATATACATATATTTCAACATTCCCCCTCAAGTTTGGGGTTGGTGTATATGTTTAGAATCCTAAACTTGCCTAGTAAATGCTTGTATTGCTTGCTTGCCTAGACCTTTTATAAGAAGGTCTACTTGGTTGTTCCGTTGTAGAAATGTGTTGTGTGACAATTAGTCCTTTGTTAAGTCGTTCTTTGACCAAATGACAATCCAAATCTATGTGCTTTGTTCTTTTATGGAAAACTGGATTCGTTGGCTATAAATAAGGCTGATTCGTTGTCACAAAATAATGTTGTTGGCTTCATTTTCTCTTCCCCTAAATCTGCAAACAGTCTTACAATCCACATGACTTCACACACTGTATTTGCAATGGCTCGTAATCCGATTCAGTTGATGATTTAGAGATAGTGTTCTGCTTTTTAGTTTTCCATGAGATGGTAGAGTCTCCCAGTTTGATGAGAAAACCTAAGACAGATTTTCTAGTCATACGACAGGATGCCTAGTCCGAATTGCAATGCACCTCTAACTTCTATTTACTTGTGGATGAAATTAATAAACCCATTCCCGGATCTCCTTTAAGATATCGTAAGACTACGTAAGTTCGCTGTTAAGTGAGATTGTTTTGGTCCGTGCATAAACCGACTTAAGAGTTGTACACTTGGAGGAAAGGTCCGGTCTAGTAATTATCACATAAATCGGCTTTTCTATAAGTCTTTAATAACTTGTTGGGTCTGCAAGCTCTTGATCTTCCATCTTTGTCTTACATCCTTCATCAAATTCTATCGTAGTGAGTTTCAAGTGTTGTTCTATAGGAGTGTCTAGAGGTATTACATTAAGCTACCAGTCTCCTTAAGTAGCTCTAAAATATACTTCCTCTATGTTAGATATATCCCCTCCTTTGATCCGGCTATCTCTATCCCTAAGAAGTATCTTAGGTCATCAAGATCTTTTATGTGACATTTCCTGTGGAGGAAATTTTTTAATGCTCGTCATTTCTCCTTCATCATTTCCTGTGATAATAATGTCATCTACATATACTAGTAAGATGACCAAGCTCTCTCCATTCTTCTACACAAAGAGAGAATAATCATTGAGTGATTGTTGGAATCCCGCTCGCATCATAGTCTCATAGAACTTAGCATTCCATTGTCCGTCGGCTTGTTTCAATCCATATAGTGATTTGAGTAGCTTGCATACTTTCTGCTCCCCTCAATCTCAAACCTTTACGGGACTCTCATGTATACTTCTTCATGTAAGTCTCCCCGTAGAAATGCATTTGTTATATCCATTTGCATGAGTTTCCAACCTTTAATAGCGAGCTAAGGCAATTACGGGTCTTACTCGTCACCATTTTAGCAACTCGGTGAAAAAGTCTCCTTGTAGTCAATTCCCTCCTTTTGAGTGTATCCCTTGGTAACCAATCGTGCTTTATACCTTTCAATGCTCCCATCTAAACCGCATTTCACCTTGTACACCCACTTGCACCCTATTGGTTTTTTTCCTTTTGACGGTGTCACTAAATCCCAAGTCATGTTAAGTTCTAGTGCTTGTATTTCTTTCTGCATAGCTTCAACCCAATTAGGATCCTTTTTAGCCTCATGATAATTGTTTGGCTCTATAGTGTTGGATAAGGTTGAGAGGTAGGCTTTGTATGTGGGTGTTAAGTGCTCATAAGTGATGTAGTTTGTGATAGGATAGCCGATCTTCTTAATTGTGTTGATCGAGTTGCTTTAAGGGATGGTAGGACAATGATAATCATTTGACTAGACGGGTGGTTGGGTTGTCCTAGCTGATCTTCTAAGGTTTATTTGGTTATGTGAGTCAATTTGTGATGAGGGGACGAAGCTTGTGTTTTAGATTGATTGAAATTGTTTGATGATTGAGTGGTAAATTCGAAGGCAAAATTAGAGAACTTGACTTTTCAATTAAATCATCAAATAGAAAATCATTTGAATAGTTTTGACTTTGAATTAAACTTTCCTACTTCAACTTAAAAGGGAATATATTTTCATGGAAAAGTATGTCTTTGGACACAGAAAAAATCTTAGATTCTATGTCATAGACTCGATAACTCGATCGTCCAAAAGGATACCCAAGAAGGACACATGGTTTTGATCTAGGATTGAATTTATCGAATTATGCAAGGTTTTGACATAGTAAAAAGTTTCAAAACTTTCAAGTGATCGATTATAGGAGGTTTTTCAAAAATCATTTCATAAGGAGTTTTGTAGTTTAAAACTGGAGTAGGAATTCTATTTATCAAATATGTAGTCGTCAAAATGCAATCCCCCCAAAACTCTATTGGCATATTTGATTGGAACATAAGAGATCTAGCAACATCTAATATATGTCCGTGTTTTCCTTCTACTATTCCATTTTGTTGTGGTGTATAAAGTATAGTGCTTTCATGAATGACTCCTTGTTCTTCCAAAAAATGTTTGCATTCATGATTTAAAAATTCTCTTGCTCTATAAGTTCAAATTATTTTGATGGTCTTAGCAAATTGTGTTCGATAAGGTGAAAAAAGGTTTTGACAATAGCATTTTCATCACTTTTGTAGTTTAGTAAAAACACCCATGTTCCTCTCGAGTAATCATCAACAATTGTGAGGAAGTATTTGGCTCCATTGTGTGTTGGTGTTCTATAGGGTCCCTAAATGTCGGGGTGAATTAGTTCGAATGTGCTAACTCGTTTTGGTTGGTTTGGTGGGAAAGGGTAATCCGGTGAGTTTAGCTAATGGACGGATAGGGCATTGTGTTTCGCATTTTTGCATATATCGGTTAAGCTCGGTAGGAATTTGAGTTTAATATTACTAGCATGTTCAAATCTCATGTGCCAAACATTCTCTTTTATTGACTTAGAAATTGCATTATAGCTTGATTGAAAAAACATTAACGGATTTTGAAATAAACTTGACATTAGAAAAGGAACAATCGAATCGAATTTGTGTTTCTGTCGAGACTCGAGAATTTGTGATGAATGATCATGTGATGATGATCCTGTCTTGAGGTAATATAGGCCATTTTGTATCCTACCAATCCCCTTTACCAACCCGATCTTGAGGTCTTGAAATAAACGAAGTCGGGGTAAAAGGCGACAAAACACGGGTTTTCTTTAGTGAATTTTGAGATGGATAATAGGTTAAATTTGAAATCGGGTATGTGTATCACATTTGTCAATTTAAAATCAAGGGATATAGGTATAGTGCTAGTGTATGTCACTTGGGATGATTTACCATTTGGAGTTGAACCTCTAAATGTTTTGAAGCTATATCGAAATTATTACATTACTATCTAATTCACAGGACATGTGCTCATTAGCTCTATTGTCAATCACCCAATCTTTTCTCAAGCGACCATTCATTATATTTGCACGGTAAGTAAAGATACCTACAATGTTTGCTAAGGGCTGACTTGATGTGGATCCTTTCCCGGTGTCCGATTCCGTTCTAAATAACTGCATGATCCGATTATATTGTTGTTGTGTGAATACCGATGCATTTCTAATTGTTTAGTTTACGTAATCTTCCTTTTTGAATCCGGATCATTATAATCGTCACTTCATATCTTGACTGGTTTGCTTGATAGTTTCTTCCACCATTTCCTTTGCCATATGGCTTTCTTCCTCTTCTGCTCGAACCCCTTCTTGGTGTATTTGGATACCCCACCGGTTTGTAGCAATTCTTCTTCAAGTGCCACGACATGTGACGAGTAGTCACAAGTAGCAGAACTCTTTTCGTTGATAGTGTCATGTCTCCGTTGATTGTTAGAATAGAAACTGGCAAGTGTATCAATAATTTGAATGTTGTTAGAGATGGATCTTTGAGATTCTTTATTGCTTACTATGGCAAAGGCTTGGGTGTGTGTGGGTAATGGAATCATCATAAGTATTTGTGACTTTACATTAGCATAGCTTTCATTTAACCCAATCAAGAACTGTAACATTTTGAAGTGTTGAGTATGTTCTAGGTATAGCTTTGAACTTGGGCAATCACAAGTGGGAAAAGTCACTAAGGTCTCAAACTCATCCTATAGTTTTCTAAGTTTTGAATAATAGGTTGATACGGACAAAGTACCTTGCATTGTGTGTTAGATCTCTCCGGGAATTGTAAATATTTGAGGGCCACTCGACCTTGTCAAATCTCTCCTCGAGATCCTTCCATACCAGCTCCGTAGATTTGTAGTAGACCATAGCATTGTAGATTTCTTGTGATACCGTGTTCGGTAGCCAAGCAAATACAATTGCATTGCATCTTACCCGGTATGGGTATATGGGTGAGGTTGGATCCGGTTTTTCACAAGTTCCATCAACAAA